TGTTTCCTGAGCGTCGAAAGCGCGATTTCTGAATAAATTGCATGGGAGTCACAGGCGAGAGCGCAATTCCTGAATACAATGTGAGGGGTTCTCTGGCGGGAGCGGGGGTCTCGATTAAATTGCGAGGCAGTCTTGGTTCGATTGCGAGGAAGTCTCAGGCGGGAGCGCCTTCCCTGAGTAATTTGTGAGGACGTCTCGGATGGGAGCGAGGGTCCTGATTTAATTGCGAGGAAGTCACAGGCGGGAGCACCGATCCGGAGTAAATTGTGAGGAAGTCTCAGGAGCGGGACTCCTGAATTTGGAGGAAGGCTCAGGCGGGAGCCGTTGCTGTTGTAATCGAAAGGCAAAAGGGCCCAGTTTGAGCAGGACGTCTTTCCCTGTCAAAAAAGAGGGTGCGAGCGTCGAGTGGCACACTTTGATTGTGAAAAAACGTATGCACCGGTGGATGGGGGGACCAACAAGAATTATCCTTCAGAAGTGAGAGCTCAACAACGGCAACAGCAAGAGAAACAACAACAACAACAACAACAACAACAACAACAACAACAACAACAACAACAACAACAACAACAACAACAACAACAACAACAACAACAATTACTAGCACGTGGGGACACTCCGTTCTCACCAGTGCCAGGGTTTTCATAGGAGGCGGGCAATACCCCCACTTTGTGGGGGGGCCGGTTCAAGCTCTACCAAATTTCCAAACGACTCTTCGCCACCACCCACACCCAGCTTCCCGCCCTATGACGTTCGGACACTTCACTTCGTGGCATGCGGACGACCGTGGCTACTATTCAGGGCCCCGCGGCCGACGACGACGGCGTGCGCGCGCGAAGAAAAAACGAATGTGTCCCGCATGGTATTATTTGACAGGGATGATGGCCCTGGCAGGTGCGCAACCGTTGTTGCAGAAGTTCGAAAAAGTTGCTCGCAAAAGCCCGTTTGACAGAAATGTTTAAAAAGTGTTGGGTTTCCTACGAATCCGCAAGAGCGCGCGGGATGAAATTTTGACAATTTTTTGTTGAAAAACCATTGGTTTTTTGATGTTTTTATGTTAAAATCGCTACGAACACTAAGGTTTTGGAAGGATTTCGTCTTGCGCGCGCGAATGTCCACTTTACCTTATTTTTTGCAAGGGATTCTTGAAATTTGATTATATTAGAACAAGAAATGTCATTTTATAGTGTTTTTTGCAAGGGAAAGCGGATTACAACAAAACAACCGGATCTGGATCACATCGTTTTACCTGAGGCTTCCTCACGAAAATGATGAAAATGTGGCTGCGGCCTAGGCGCGGCGGGGGGGGCGTGCACCAGGGGCCCCAACAATAATTATTCTTAAGAAGAAATAATGTTCAACAACAACAATTACAACAACAACAACAACAACAACAACAACAACAACATCAACAACAACAACAACAACAACAACGACAACAGCAGCAGCAGCAGCAGCAACATCAACATCACCAACACCATCAACAAAAACCAGAAAGCCATCAAAAACAACTACAACAACGACACCAACAACACTGATTTTCAGGCTGTGCACTCTTATCTGCCCGACAGTGATTTAACGTGCATTTCCCGACCCTCGATACCCGCCCTTTTTGTCTTCGATCGTACCCTTTTGGGGGGGAAGATTTTTCTTCCCTGCAGTCCGGGCCCCGGCAAGCGGCGGGGCGGCCGCGGACACGCGGCCTGGCCAGCGGCAATACTGATCGGCGGCAACCCGACCCCAGGAGGACCGGACAGGGGACCGACCACGACGACGACGACGACGAACACGACGACGAGCGAAAGCGAGAGCGAGAGCGAGAGCGACAGCGGGGCCACGAAGTGCAGGAAGGGGGCCAAGAAGGGCGACAGCAGGGGCACGAAGGGCACGCGTATGGGGCAACGACGGGCGCGAACGAGCGGGGGCCACGAACGGCAGATAGTGCGGGGCCACAGAGGGTAACGACAGGGCCACTGAGGGTAGTAACGGGGCCACGTAGGACAGCGAGGGGGCCGCAGAGGGCGACAGCGGGGCCACAAAGGGCATGTGTATGGGGCCACGACGGGCGCGAACGAGCGGGGGCCACGAAGGGCATACGTATATTGGGCCTCCGAAGGCAAGGACGGGACCACTGAAGGCAGTAACGGGGCCACTAAGGGCAGCGAGGGGGCCACGAAGGTCGACAGCAGGGCCACGAAGGGCATGCATATGGTGCGACGACGGGCGCGAACGAGCGGGGGCCACGAAGGGCATACATCTATGGGGCCACGAAAGGCAGCGATGGGGGCCACGAAGGGCTGCAACGGGGCCACGAAGGGCAGCGATGGGGGCCGCAAATGGCTGCAACGGGGCCACGAAGGGCAGCGAGAGGGCCACGAAGGGCTTCAACGGTGCTGCGAAGGGCAGCGAGGGGGCCACGAAGGGGCTGCAACGGGGCCACGAAGGGCAGCGATGGGGCCACGAAGGAGATGCAACTGGACCAAGAAGGGCAGCGAGGGGGCCACGAAAGGCTGCAACGGACCCAATAAGGGAAGCGAGGGGGCCACGGAGGGCAGCGAGGGGGCCACGAAGGGCAGCGAGGGGGCCCACGAAGAGCTGCAACGGGGCCACGAAGAACAGCAAGATCCCGATTCCTATGTAAGCTGTGAAGGAGTCCTAAGCGAGAGCGCGACTCCTGGGTGCCTGAGTGTCGGGAGCGCGGCACTTCAGTAAATTGCAGGGAGATCCAACACAAGAGAGCGATTCTTGAGTCAATTGCAAGCAGGTCCCCAGCGAGTAGGATCCAGAGCGACGATACAACGATATTAAACAGGAGTTATAGGAAAGCCAAAGCGAGAGCGCGATGCCTGAGTGAAACGCGACGAAGTCTCAAGCGGTAACGGTGGTCCTGTCGAAATTGTGGGGGTTTCTCGGGCGGGAACAGTTATTGCTGTAATCCGGGAGCCAACAACGCAGTTCGTGCCTAGTGACTTTCCCTGTGTTATATATAAGGTTATAAAAAGGTGCGAACCCCCGAGAAAACACTTCAATTGAAAACACCACTTGGTCACCAGAGGGGGGGGGGCAAACAACAATTATTCTTCAGTAGTGAGGGTTCGACGACATCAGCAGCAACACCACCAACAAAGACAACAACGACAACACCACCAACACCAAACCACCACCACCACTAACAGCAACTATCACTTTAAGGCTGTTCGCAGTTCTCTGCCCGCGGCCCATTCAACACGTATATCCCAAACCCTCGGTACCCGCTCTACTCGTCTTCGATCGCGCCGACTTGGGGGTAGATCTGTCTTACCTGCAGCGTATACTTCATGCAGCCTCTACGGCAGGAAAAGAGAGGACGGATGGAAAAAAGGACAACAGGGAGGGAGGATGATGAAGCACGAGAGAGAGAGAGAGAGAGAGTGAGTAGCAGGAGGGGGGTCACAAGGGGGCCACGAAGGGCAGCGAGAGGGCCACGCAGGGCGACAGCGGGGCCACGAAGGGCATGCAGATGGGGCCACGACGGGCGCGTACCAGCGGGGCCCACGAAGGGCAGCGAGCGAAGGCGACCGCGGAACCAGCACGGGCAACGAGGGGCATCGAAGGCGGGCGAAGGGCAGCGAGCCGCGACTGCAGTCCCTACCGGGCTGGTCGGGCGGGCAGGCCCCGACGGGCGGGTCGAGCGGGCGGGTCGTTGAAGCGTGGATACTGCTTGGGCCGCCAAACAATATTCAGCGGGAGCGCGACTCCCAAGTAAATCGTGTCGATTCCAGAGTGTCGAGGAGCGGCAATAAATTGTGAAAAGGTCTCATGCGAGAGCGCGATTGCTGCGTACATTTTCAGGAAATCTCAAGCGAAGGCCTGGTTTCTACTATCAGGTGGGAGCCGTTGTTGTCGTAACTCGGGGGACAGGGGCGCAGTTTGAGGCTTGAGACTTTCCCTGAAACAGAAAACAGGGTGCGAGCCCCGGGAAGGGCACTTCAGTTGAAACGTTCAATGTGCACCAGGCAGGGGGGATCAACAATAATTCTTAAAAAATGAAAATTCAGCAACGATAGCAACAATCCGCACCGCAAAAGCCCACCTCAACAACAAATGACTGTTCGGCTCCCTCGCTCTGACCTACTTTCGACGACGACGCTTGCGCCCTTCTGTTCCCTGACAACCAGCGCCACGGCCGCGGCCCAGGCCTGCCGGCGGCCCAGGGCGCGGATGCGGGCCAGGCAGTCCTGCGCTGAGAGGGGGGGGGAACGCAGGCGATCCAACCTGAGATCCTGGCGTTGCAAGTTGTTTCCCTCGGCGGCGAACGAGGGGGGGAAATGAGAAGGAGGCCTTCTCGGGAGGCGGAGGGGCTTCTCAGAAGCCCTCGTGCCTTCTGAGAAATGTTCTGCGTCTTCGGTGAAGGCGCAGAACACTGTTTCAGAAGGCCGGTGGGCGTCCAAGCCTTCTGAGAAGGCCCGCCCCGTCTCACTTCCCCCAGGGCTCGCCACCGAACCCCAGCGGGCGATTTTGCCTCTTGTCGGGCCCAGGGGCCCTCCCGGATCGATCGAGCTTGAAACATGGCGCAGGAGGAGATGGGGTCTAGGTCTGCCAGTCGGGGTATTCCGCGATGTTGCAGTCTTGTGACAGCGTCACATCTCGGGGCGATCAATAATTTACGCATGTCCCCCTGCTTCCGCCCGAATTGTGCACAACACGCCAGCAACACCCCGCCAGCCGGGTAAGCTGTGCCACTGCACTCCCCAATTGGGCGCAGCAAGCCCGCAACAGGAGCGATCCGAAGCTCGCTTCGGGCCATCAGGACCATTCAGGTGGCTGCTCGTCAAATTCCCAACCACCTGGGGACCTCCCAACCCTCAAGGAAGCGCACCGTCTCAGAGTGCTCCTCCTCGTCGTCGTCCTCCTCGTCGTCCTCGTCGTCCACGTCGTCCTCCTCCTCCTCCTCCCCCTCCTCGTCGTCGTCCTCGTCGTCCTCGTCGTCCTCGTCCTCGTCGTCGTCGTCGTCGCCGCTCCTGGTGCAGCCCGCTGCGCTCCCCCCCGCGGTCCTGGCGGCTGGCGACCTGCCCCGCCAGGGCCGCCTCTGGCCTCGGCCGGCGGCCGCGGCCCGCGGCCCGCGCCGCGGCCTCCAGCAGGCCCTGCCGCCCCGGCGGCGCCATGCGCGCCGCGCGCGCCGCCTCCGGCGGCGCCGCGGCTCGCCGCCGCCGGCGCCGCCGCCGCGGAGCGCAT